TGGAGAGGAAAACTCACTTTGTGGTACTTTATACAACATTGGATTCATCCATTTGTGTTGTTGATTGGAAACTTTTTTTGATAWAACACTTGTGGTTTGTTTTTGCTTTTATTCTTTGTGAATTTCAAAATAAGTGTATTTTTTTCTGAGCTCAGCAACCTTTCTCCTAACGAGCTGTATTTTAGTTTTGGCACAGCTGAGTGACAGGACTCACTGATTTTTCATCTGAACAGAAACAAAAACTCAAACTCACTCATATCTGTTGTTAAGCAGAACCTTTTCGCTGCTGTTATATATAATTTTGTTGTTGTTGTTTGTAAATTGAGGTTGGGCCACCTCCTCGGTTCAGTTCCATTACAGAATGTCTGCAGCGGAGCCGCGACCACATGAAGCAGAGTTCATGATGCTCTCGATCAAGCATCTTTACAGGAAAAAGTGCAAGAAGCAGCACACTTCAGTCCTCAATAATAGCAGCCTTGGTGGGCTATATTTAGGTTAAAAGCTTTATTATTGCTTCAGTTGCAGTGATGAGAGATGTGCACCCCTGGAGAGCCATCTTTTATCCAGAGCTGCACTTGATTACAGTCCAGTCATGGTCAGAACCAGTAAAACGTGCAGTTACTTTAACGTGTTATTTACCAAGATCACACAATCCTGGCTCTATCATTTGGAGCTCAGGAGGATTTTACTGACAGATAAGAAAATCAGACAGACTCCTTCTGTTTCAGCTTTGACATACGAACCAAATACACACCTGCAGTAAGAGTTTGTCCATCTTCTGGCACTTTTCCTGTACATTTTAATCAACAACTCGGTTGTGGCCCCTTGAGATACTTTAAAAGAAGAAAACATTACATTTGGATGCAGAATAGGGTATGGTGATAATGATTATTTTTCCAATTTAATCAATTTTTAAGATCATTGACCAAATATAGTCTCTGACACGGTTCCACACTGCAAAAAATGTCCACCTAACCAAGTTTTAAAATCTTATATCAGCCAAAAAATCTTTTTGATCTTGTTTTGAGACTGATTTACTAAACAAGAACTGATTGTGTAAGAATAATAATCTTGTTTTCAGAATGTGTAAGATTATTTG